CTGAAGCCTGTCCATCATGGGTAACATCGCTGGTATTGAAAATACTGGCAGCATACCATCCAGAACCACAGTAACATGTAAGCCACCATAGTATGACAAACCAACAGATGAGTAGTGGAGTGGAATGGTGGAGAGTGATTTTAGGTTTGCAGAAAAAATTGCTCAGAAAGTACAGTTGTTATTGTTAGCTGATCTTGATTTGGCCTCCAATTCATGACAATCCTATGCACAATGGAAGAAAAGGCTGCCAGGTCCTGCACCATCCTCGTGATTGGTTGTGGGTCAGATCTTTGTGATTCGTGTGGTTTTCACTGGCTGATTTTCAGAAGTGGATTGTCAGATTTTCAGCTTCTTACTCTATCTTAGTCTGAAAGTTCCCCCTCAAACTGCTCACCATCTTCCGTATACTTTCTCTCCCCCTTCTACAGTTTTTTTTTATTAACATCTTGAATCAGTATGGTACATTTGGTGCAATTTATGGATCAATGTAGATACACTATTGTTAACTAAACTCTGTAGTTTGTGTTAGAGTTCAGTCTTTGTACAGTCCTTGGGTTTTGACAATGCATAATGTCATGTATCTACCATTACAGTATCATGCCAAATAGTTCCAGGTTTTTTTGTTTTGTTTTTCTTAATGGCTGAGTAGCAGACCATTGTATGGGTACACCCATGGATCGTTTATCCATTCACCTTTTGATGGGCACAGAAAAAGAAAATTAAGAAGATTAAAGTTATAAAAATCTTATTTTTAATAAGAATAAATAAATTTATTCTGTAAGTATTTGTTGAATGTCAGCTCTATGGTGGGCATTGTGCTAGCCATTGTGGACACAGTTGGAAACAAAATAGTAGAAAGAGTGTTTGCCTTCATGCACTTTCACTCTAACAGGAAACACAGATTATGAGCAAGTGAACAGATACATTACCAAGATAATATTACTCACTGTTGTCAAGTCGGATCTGACTCATAGCAACCCCTCCTTGGCTTTCTGAGGTGGTATCTCCATGGAAGTAGATTGCCCAATCTCCTTCCAAGGAGTGGGTGGTGGGTTTGAACCACCAGCCTTCTGGTTAGCAGTCAAATGCCTTGGGCACTATGCTAACAGAGCTCTCAAAATAATATCAGATTGATATAAATCCTATAGAGGCAATAATGTTATGGAAAATTAAGTAATTAACTGTAATTTAGTAAAATGTAATTAAATCAAATTAA